CAGTGAAAAGAGACCCCATGTTTCCTAAAAATAGAGCCAAGGGGAAGTAAATACAAAGAAAAAAGCAAAGGCCCCAAAATGGAGCCCTGTGGAACCCCAGATAACAAAGGGGTTGTCACAGATTCCACATCTGCCAGCCCGACAGACACTGATCTACCCGATAAATATGACTGAAACCATGCTAGGGCAGCACCACGAATGCCCACTAAATCCTGAAGGCGAGATATCAAAATGTCATGGTCCACCATGTCAAAGGCAGCAGTCAAGTCCAACAGGACACTACCAGGAGGCGACTGAGTGAAACTGCAAGGGAGTGAGCTGACTGAAGGACAATGGATGACATCACATCACATCACATTCTCCATATACTCATGTTACATATAAATCACTTACATATAAACATTTATTATTCAATCCTTTATATTAATGAGTATTTTCAGTTGATTATTTCAGATTTATGAGTATAAGATTTTTCTGAGTATGTGTGTTTATGTGTAATGGAATTATATTACAGCATGTTACAGTAAAAGTTACAGTATATTTACACAATAGTTTAATCACATTATGTTTGTTACAAATGTGTTGTGTTTTAAATTCAAGTTTTGCGATTCTCACTATTTTCTGTGTACACTCAGGTTCACTGCAGGCCATTGGTGGTGATCGCCCAAGGGAGATTCCTGGAGACTGTTTTCCCCATAATTCGTCATCACTGGGGTTTTTGCGTCTCTGGAGACCCATCTGGGGGTCGTCCAGGAATTTTTTCCCAAAACCTGGGTTTTTGCCGCAGTGATGTGACAAATGCGTGTATTGATGAAAAGACCAGTGTTTAAGAGGGCAGAAGGTGTTTGCATTGAAGCTGTTTCTTTTACAGTACAGATGTGTGAATAATTGAAACTGTGTTATGTGTAAGGGAAGGAGGATCACCTTGTCATTTATTCTTTTTGTTATTCAGTTTTTATTTCCAATCTATTATAATCAAATAAAAAAGTGTGTACTATTGTTATGACCCAGGGGGAGAAAGAAGACGTGGGGCAGATTACCTGACGTCCTCTGCACAGACTAAGACTAAAAACTAACAACGTGATCCTGTATCCCGCCCTCTCAATGCTATTTCCATAACATTGTTAAATAAATGATTATTGGCACTGTAGTAATTTTCTCTGTGCATTGATTTTACCCACGACACTTCAAATCATCATGCATCCCAACTGTGCAAAACCTCTACCTGAGCTCAGAGTTGTCAGCCTCTCGCCTCTGAAGTGGAGGCCCACCAGCATCCTGTTTGTCCATGCCTTGGTAGCTCTGAGGTGGAGAGATGGGCTCATAGTTCTCTATTGGGCGGCCTCCTCGCTCTGGAGACTTACCAGGCCTGAAGATGAAGAACAGGGACGAAAGTTAAACAGATGATGGATAATAAGTCCGATTCACACTGATTGTATTCAGGGTTAAGTGTTTGGTCCCTGTACCTGGCCCTGGGCTTGTCAGGGGCATTCTCTGGTGAAATTCTATTGGAAGGTCTCTGGTGGTGTGAGGCCTGAACCTGGTTTTCAGGACTGTAGCGGCTGGGCACCTTGGCTCGACCTGAAGGGGACAAGGGTGGCACCATGCTCTGGAATGTGGATGAAGATGAGGAAACTGCAGGAGGGTCTTGATTCTGGGCAAAGTCCTGGGTTATAATACGCTGCATGACAAGAATCACAAAACAAAATTATTAACCAGGTCACCAGGTATGCGCTGCATTACTTTATCTGACTCTCAAGCATTTCTTACCGAAATGTGGTCTGCCAAAGTCATGACCCGGTGAGTCTTGGGGACCTGCGAGTAGCTGTCTGCATGCGAGGAGGCGGGCTGCTGGGAACTGGGCTGTGTTGGCTCGCCTGATGGACGGTAACAACTCACGTCGTAAGCCCGCATGCCAGCTGGTGAGGTTTGACCAATGACAGAGCATTGTTGTTTTAAGATTTAATCAGGTTGAGGTGAAGCATGATGAAAAGGGGAGGAGCCAATATGCTATATAAAGTGCTGTAGTAGTGAGTTCATGTGACAAGAGTAACTTCAACTGGAGTCTGGTAACTAGACTGTGCAGAGCAAGGGTAAGTCATTCAAATTATCCTATGTTTACTCCATTAGCACCTAAATTTAACTTTCATAACCAGTTCTGACTCACCACTGTTATGTCTTCTTTGACATCAAGTACAAAATGCTCAACTTGCTTTGCCCAGGGTCCACTTTTGCAAAATGACAGGGAGCCAGGGGCCCATTAACAAACAATACTTATCAGATAAAATGAATAAACATTAAATGGCCCATAACTAATCTTCTTTAAAATTATTTTCAAATTAACTAACTTATTTTGTTGCATTTAATAGGATCCAACTGCATGTTAGTTGTAAATGCTTTGGTTACATTTGAATGTTTATATACTGTAACCTCTTCCATCATGAAATCACTGAAATGTTGGAGTGATTCATAAGTACAAACCATAAACAAACTGATCCTACCATGAACAAAATTAATAGTATATCTGAGCTTTTAGTGCATCAGAATTAAATGTACAAATGGCATGACTTCATTTACATCATACTGTGACACTTCTTGACTATACCTGCTTAGTGTGAGGGATTGCATCCCTTTTCCTTTGAGAGCTTGCTGATGTTTGGATTATGAAATGTGAAGGCAATGTGCATGCACTGGTTGAGATGCCAGTCTGAGAGTCTATTGTGCTTTTTGTCCTTAATCAAGATTCATCGCTGAAAAACCTCACTTGGCGATGCTAGGGGCCGTCCAGTCCCTGTACGACCGGAGCAGGAGCTTGGTTCGCATTGCCGGGAGTAAGTCAGACTTTTTCCCGGTGCATGTTGGACTCCGGCAGGGCTGCCCTTTGTCACCAGTTCTGTTCTTTATGGACAGAATTTCTAGGTGCAGCCAGGGGCCGGAGGGAGTTCGGTTTGGGGATCTCGTCTCTGCTATTTGCAGATGACGTTGTCCTGTTGGCTTCATCAAACCAGGACCTTCAGCGTGCACTGGGATGGTTTGCAGGCGTGAAGCGGCTGGGATGAGAATCAGCACCTCCAAATCCGAGGCCATGGTTCTCAGTCGGTAAAGGGTGGCTTGTTCCCTTCAGGTTGGTGGAGAGTTCCTGCCTCAAGTGGAGGAGTTCAAGTATCTTGGGGTCTTGTTCACGAGTGAGGGAAGGATGGAATGGGAGATTGACAGGCGGATCGGTGCAGCTTCTGCAGTAATGCGGTCGATGTACCGGTCTGTCGTGGTAAAGAAGGAGCTGAGCTGTAAGGCGAAGCTCTCGATTTATTGGTCGATCTACGTTCCGACTCTCACCTATGGTTATGAGCTTTGGGTCATGACCGAAAGGGCAAGATCCCAGATACAGGCGGCCGAAATGAGGGGGGACTTAAAGCAACGTAAGATTTAAAAAAAACAAAAAACAAACAACAACAAAAAAAAAAAAAGCACGTTGCATGTCTGTTAATGCCTTGTTTCTGTAACATTCTGGGGCGGTTATAAGGCGGGAAAAGTTACTATGTCTGCATTATGCCAGTTAAAATATGTGGTTTCTCAATTACCTGCTTTGTTTAGAGTGTTACACATTGGTACATATACCATTGTTTACCTATCTACGGAGGAGAAATTCAGATTAATTAACACCGTAGTGGTTCACTGAGATGTCCACTTGCAACACAACACCAGCAACAGAAGTTGTGCACTTTCACAAACTATCCTCTCCTTTTTAGGAATGATGTCAACATTCTGAAATAATTATAGACTATTGGGAGTTATGAGGAGTGCCAAGATAATCTAAAGGTACCCAAGATAAACATTAAATGGCTGGAAATGAGCAAAATGAGCAGCCATGGGGACTTCAACAAGTTCAGCAACCACAAATTGCTTGCCCTTCTTGGCTAGTTCCCAAGTCACACCAAGCAAGGCAGCAGTCATGTTCTCAGCAGTAGTCATTGCATTTGTTAGGATTGTTGATGTGGCAGAATAAGACAAGTTCAAAGTTAACATCTTCTCTTTCCTTGTGGTGCTAGCAGGAGGGAACACTATACTGAAGCCAGCATGTTTTGTCGTATCATGGCACTTGATATTAGCAACCTCGCATATGGCAATTTAAATTTTGCAAATTAAACAGTAGTTTGGGATTTGCATGAGGTGGCAAAATAAAGGCAAAATCCTCTGTCAATTTTTCACTGAATTGCTTCTTTTCATTGTCAACCTTTCTGCATTTGCTGTCCTCATTCATCTTTGCTAAAAACATCAACTAGCAGCAGCCCTGCGCAGGTCAAAAGTGCCTAAATATAAATCATTCAGGTCATAGTAAACTGAAAAAACTTCAGGTCGAAGACGTTTCACCTCTCATCCAAGAGGCTTCATCAGTTCTGACTGACTGGTGTTGAGCCGGAGATATTTATCCCCCTTGGTGGTGTTTCAGTCCTTTGAAGGCCAACAATGTCCCTTAACGACTGAGTCGTTATAGCCCAGTATCGGTGAGAGTCGTTACCTGTCTTTGAATCCTCCCCTGTCGACCGACGCCTATTGTCCTGGTGGGCATGTTTGGGCAGAGATCTCAAAACAGGATTGTAGATGGATGACAAGTTGTGTCTTAGTCCACCACCCCTATTTAGTCAGGTGTAAGATATTACCCAGTTCTTCTAACCAGGAACTCAGAGAGACCACTTGGATATATAAAAAATAACCTTGCTGGTTTATTCAAAGGATCACAGGTAAAATTAACATTACACGTCCAGGCATCTTCCACCCCCAAACCTGCGCACAGGCAGCATGGAGGATAAAAGACCCTGAACCCTCATGCCTATACAATTTTATCCCTTGGTTGGGCTAGCCCATGCTACACAGGAACGTCAACCGTGACGTCACCTGATATGCCAGCTTCACAGCTGGCCGTAGCAATAGTCAAAACATGGAGAGAATCAATGTGTGTGTGAGTGTTGATCATGTGGTGTGTATCTAAAAACATACAGGACGTTCAGGGACATGTCCGGACATTAAGCCTCGGAAGATATTATGATTAAGATTACGGCTGAACATATCATGCTACTAGCAATATTCATCCTGCCTGCAGACTCTTCAATCTAGTTGACCTTGGCCTAGATGCAGCCTGCAGAACTCATGACAATGAACTGAGCATTTAACAGCCTGAGCTAGACATCCTGGCCACACTAAACATTCCTATACAACAAGTATCTAATCAATATCTACCTGAGTAAGAAATTACCTAACAAAATGAAGAATTTTAACAAAAAGCCACAATCCACCTGGCCTGGTGGGGAAAGGATGGCTTGGAAAGAACACAGTTTTAGATATTTTCATGTCTTTATGAAGATATGGACAAAAAGGAAACTGTTTATAGACATTTTCATGTCTTTTATGTTTTCCCGAGTTACAAAAGATTTGACCAAGAAAAACATTGTTTAACTGAATTTGTCCTATTTCTCTGAGAGTTTTAAAGATTGAACTGGATGAGCTTTGATATTTTTGTTTACAAATTATTTTCCCCTTGTGAAAGCTTGAATCATGGCAAAAAGGAAAAAGAGGAACAAACAATGGCCCAATCTGCCACCGCCCTACCCAGAGCCATCTGAGCCAGATTACGTGAGAAAAATCTCTGTTGTTTATAAGCTATTATTTCTTTGTAGCTTCTTCCGGTTCTTTCAAACCAGGAACTCTCAATGAGACGAAAGAGACTGCTTTAGATTTTATAAAAAATAACCGTGCTGGTTTATTCAGAGGATCACAGGTAAAATTCACAGGACACGTCCAGAGCTCTCTCACCCCTCTGCCTGCAGGCAGCAGAAAAGCTGAAGATGTCTGGACCCAACAACCTATATAATATTAATCATTTTTGGGCTAGCCCATGCTACAAGGGGCGTCAAACCGTGACGCCACCCGATAAGCAAGCTTTGCAGCTGCTCTATCGTTTAGCCAAAACATGAGGAAAAGTCAAGGTGCGTGACTGTTGTTTTCGCGGTGTGTATCTAAACAATTGGACATAACCTTACACTTTAAGACAAATATTAAGACTAGCATTACAGTTGACCCTAAAAGCTCTTTTCCTGTAACCTTGGCGTGCCTGCAATTTTACTGCAGGCTAATAGTTACATCAAACTAGTCACCCTGTCTGCACTAAACATCTTCTAATACAACAGATCTCTAATCCATATCTATCTAACTAAGAAATAACCTAACACCACCATCCTGGCTCCTTTGGTGGGAAACACACAGCACCACATAATAAACTCCCAGTGCCCACAACTGCAGAAGGGGCCAAGAAGGAGAAATTACACATCCAGAACTCCCTTGGATGAGAGGTGAAACGTCTTCAACCTAGAAATCTAGTCCAGTTGATTTTTTCTAAGTTTTTTCAGCTGTCTAAATGTAAGGCCAAAGAAACATAGTGGCAGCCTGTGACACATGTCACATGACACCATGCAACAGCCAGTGTGTGCAGCCCTTACGGAAATGAAGTGTCACCTTTTTGCACACTCGATTTATTTTCATTGTGAATTAGACAGTGGTATGCTGGCCGGCTGGCACCCTACTGCCGGCAATGCGAACCAAAGTCATGCTGTTTGGGCTGATTTGGCCCACAGGCTGTAAGATGAGTATCACTGTTTTAAACAACCTTTCATTCAATATTCTACATCCAAGAACATATACTGTATGTTCAAACTGAGTTTGTGTTTATACCTGCTGCCTGTTGTTGCCCATCTTCTGGTTTGTCCTGTTGTGGCTGGACTGGGGAACTGTCAGGACTGATAACCTCAATGGCCCCTCCACCAGTATTGTCATATCGACTAGATGTCACTGCTGGACAAGTACAGACACAGAGTTATTTCTGCAAGCAAGGACACAATATTGAGGTTTGGTCATGCTATAAAAAGCTGTACTTCAAGAAAATATTGCATTTCAGGCTTAACTAATTTGTGTGCTAATCCAATCAGCTAACTGATGATGTCACTGTGTCATAGTGCACTTAAGTGCAGTTTAAATAAGGTTCAGCATCTCCTAAACCATGTGTATCCAACACACTTACAGCTGCTAGAGGAGTCAGAGCTCTGAGAGCCTCGCTCTCGTGAGTCTTTGTCAGAGGCTATGTGCCGTGTGATGATGACATCAATGAAGTTAGCGGCTGTGATAGTCGTCTTTCCACGAGTCCGAAGCTCCTCTTCGATACGGGACTTTGAGGTTTGAGGGCCCTTATCCTTAACCCCGATGCCAGGGCCCTCAGAGTAAGCTGGATGGGGCTTACCTACTGGCAGAGACATAGCATCATATGGTGACTGCATGGATCGTCTTTCTGCCTCCTGTTGCTGCTGTTCGGAGAGGCTGGCTGCTCGCCGAGGTGCAGCTGACGAAGACATGTCATCGTCCCGTTCATGTTTGCTCTCCTTCACCTTCGTCACGTCCATCTGCGGGGCAGAGGCTGCAGCGTCCACCAGCGCAGCCAGGGCATCAGCTGCAGTGCTGTAGCGAGAGCTACCCTGTGCCGCTGCTGCTGAATGGGGCCTGATGAGAAAAGCAACAGATGGCATTAATTATATTTCTCATGGGGTTCAGTTGTAAGACATGGTTTGTTAGTCTGACAATCTGGAGTCTACTGTCTAGACCTTCAGTGTAAACTAAGGGTATCTAGCACACACTCACACAGCTGCCCAAAATGTAATCAGTTATAAAAACTGAGAAGGAACCCCTATGCATAGATTAACAGGCTCACGTGCACAGAGTATAGGTAATCTGAT